ACGCCGAGTCCAGGCATGAAGTGAAGAAAGTCGAGTGCTGTGTGATGTGATCCATCAGCCTATCTGTTTTGGTTCTGAACAGAAGAACCAAAGTGGCACCAAAGTGGCACCAAAGTGGGTGCCTTTGTCAGCGGCAGACTGCAAGCAAGGTGCCGACAACAGCGTCGAGTTCTTGTGCAACAAGCTGCAACGCTCAGCTTGGCGGACGATATGGTTTGCTTGGCTTGTTCAGGGCCGGTCTTTTGTAAATGTGCTGAGAATCGCTTAGCAAAAAGGATGCACACTAAGAGTTGCACTTTGGCGATTTTGCAGGTTTGTTCAGTGTCATTTGAGTCATTCTGAAGTCATTCTGAAGTCATTCTGAAGTCATTCTGAAGTCATTCTCAAGTCATTCTGAAGTCATTCTGAAGTCATTCTGAAGTCATTCTGAAGTCATTCTGAAGTCGTTCTGAAGTCATTCTGAAGTCATTCTGAAGTCATTCTGAAGTCATTCTGAAGTCATTCTGAAGTCATTCTGAAGTCATTCTGAAGTCATTTGAGTCATTCTGAAGTCATTTGAGTCATCATTTGAGTCATCATCATTCTGAAGTCATTCTGAAGTCATTCTGAAGTCATTCTGAAGTCATTCTGTTCTGAAGTCCTTCTGAAGTCGTTCTGAAGTCGTTCTGAAGTCATTCTGAAGTGATTCTGAAGTCGTTCTGAAGTCGTTCTGAAGTCGTTCTGAAGTCGTTCTGAAGTCGTTCTGAAGTCGTTCTGAAGTCGTTCTGAAGTCGTTCTGAAGTCGTTCTGAAGTCGTTCTGAAGGCGTTCTGAAGTCATTCTGAAGTCATTCTGAAGTGATTCTGAAGTGATTCTGAAGTCGTTCTGAAGTCGTTCTGAAGTCATTCTGATGTCATTCTGAAGTCATTCTGAAGTCATTCTGGAGTCGTTCTGGAGTCGTTCTGAAGTCGTTCTGACGTCGTTCTGAAGTCGATCTGAAGTCGATCTGAAGTCGTTCTGAAGTCGTTCTGAAGTCGTTCTGAAGTCCTTCTGAAGTCCTTCTGAAGTCGTTCTGAAGTCATTCTGAAGTCGTCCTGAAGTCAGTCTGAAGTCGTCCTGAAGTCGTTCTGAAGTCGTTCTGAAGTCGTTCTGAAGTCGTTCTGAAGTCGTTCTGAAGTCGTTCTGAAGTCGTTCTGAAGTCGTTCTGAAGTTGTTTTGAAGTCGTTCTGACGTCGTTCTGAAGTCGTTCTGAAGTCGTTCTGAAGTCGTTTTGAAGTCGTTCTGAAGTCGTTCTGAAGTCGTTCTGAAGTTGTTCGGAAGTCGTTCTGAAGTCGTTCTGAAGTCGTTCTGAAGTGATTCTCAAGTTGTTCTGAAGCCGTTCTGAAGTCGTTCTGAAGTCGGTCTGAAGTCGGTCTGAAGTCGTTCTGAAGTCGTTCTAAAGTCGTTCTGAAGTCGTTCTGAAGTCGTTCTGAAGTTGTTTTGGAGTCGTTCTGACGTCGCTCTGAAGTCATTCTGAAGTGATTCTGAAGTGATTCTGAAGTCGTTCTGAAGTCGTTCTGAAGTCGTTCTGATGTCATTCTGATGTCATTCTGAAGTCATTCTGAAGTCATTCTGAAGTCATTCTGAAGTCATTCTGAAGTCATTCTGAAGTCATTCTGAAGTCATTCTGAAGTCATTTGAGTCATTCTGAAGTCATTTGAGTCATCATTTGAGTCATCATCATTCTGAAGTCATTCTGAAGTCATTCGGAAAGTCATTCTGAAGTCATTCTGAAGTCATTCTGAACTGAAGTCATTCTGAACTGAAGTCATTCTGAACTGAAGTCATTCTGAACTGAAGTCATTCTGAAGTCATTCTGTTCTGAAGTCCTTCTGAAGTCGTTCTGAAGTCGTTCTGAAGTCATTCTGAAGTGATTCTGAAGTCGTTCTGAAGTCGTTCTGAAGTCGTTCTGAAGTCGTTCTGAAGTCGTTCTGAAGTCGTTCTGAAGTCGTTCTGAAGTCGTTCTGAAGTCGTTCTTAAGTCGTTCTGAAGTCGTTCTGAAGTCGTTCTGAAGTCGTTCTGAAGTCGTTCTGAAAGTCGTTCTGAAGTCGTTCTGAAGTCGTTCTGAAGTCGTTCTGAAGTCGTTCTGAAAAGTCGTTCGAAGTCGTTCTGAAGTCGTTGAAGTCGTGTCGTTCTGAAGTCGTTCTGAAGTCGTTCTGAAGTCGTCGTTCTGAAGTCGTTCTGAAGTCGTTCTGAAGTCGTTCTGAAGTCGTTCTGAAGTCGTTTTGAAGTCGTTCTGACGTCGTTCTGACGTCGTTCTGAAGTCGTTCGGAAGTCGTTCGGAAGTCGTTCTGAAGTCGTTCTGAAGTCGTTCTGAAGTCGTTCTGAAGTCGTTCGGAAGTCGTTCGGAAGTCGTTCTGAAGTCGTTCGGAAGTCGTTCTGAAGTCGTTCTGAAGTGATTCTGAAGTCGTTCTGAAGTCGTTCTGAAGTCGTTCTGAAGTCGTTCTGAAGTCGTTCTGAAGTCGTTCTGAAGTGATTCTGAAGTCGTTCTGAAGTCGTTCTGAAGTCGTTCTGAAGTCGTTCTGAAGTCGTTCTGAAGTCGTTTTGAAGTCGTTCTGACGTCGTTCTGACGTCGTTCTGAAGTCGTTCGGAAGTCGTTCGGAAGTCGTTCTGAAGTCGTTCTGAAGTCGTTCTGAAGTCGTTCTGAAGTCGTTCGGAAGTCGTTCGGAAGTCGTTCTGAAGTCGTTCGGAAGTCGTTCTGAAGTCGTTCTGAAGTGATTCTGAAGTCGTTCTGAAGTCGTTCTGAAGTCGTTCTGAAGTCGTTCTGAAGTCGTTCTGAAGTCGTTCTGAAGTCGTTCTGAAGTCGTTCTGATGTCGTTCTGAAGTCGTTCTGAAGTCGGTCTGAAGTCGGTCTGAAGTCGTTCTGAAGTCGTTCTGAAGTCGTCCTGAAGTCGTTCTGAAGTTGTTTTGAAGTCGTTCTGAAGTCGTTCTGAAGTCGTTCTGAAGTCGTTCTGAAGTCGTTCTGAAGTCGTTCTGAAGTCGTTCTAAAGTCGTTCTGAAGTCGTTCTGAAGTCGTTCTGAAGTCGTTCTGAAGTCGTTCTGTCGTTCTGAAGTCGTTCTGAAGTCGTTCTGAAGTCGTTCTGAAGTCGTTCTGAAGTCGTTCTCGTTCTGAAGTCGTTCTGAAGTCGTTCTGAAGTCGTTCTGAAGTCGTTCTGAAGTCGTTCTGAAGTTTCTGAAGTCGTCTGAAGTCAAAGTAAGTCGTTCTGAAGTCGTCCGTGAAGTCGTCCTGAAGTCGTCTGAAGTCGTGAAGTCGTTCTGAAGTCGTGAAGTCGTCCTGAAGTCGTCCTGAAGTCGTTCTGAAGTCGTTCTGAAGTCGTTCTGAAGTCGTTCTGAAGTCGTTCTGAAGTTGAAGTCGTCTGAAGTTGTATTGAAGTCGTTCTGAAGTCGTCGTCGTCTGAAGTCGTTCTGAAGTCAGTCGTGAAGTCGTGAAGTTGAAGTTTCTGAAGTCGTTCTGAAGTCGTTCTGAAGTCGTTCGTTCTGAAGTCGTTCTGTCGTTCTGAAGTCGTTGAAGTCTGAAGTCGTTCTGAAGTCGTTCTGAAGTCGTTTTGAAGTCGTGAAGTCGTTCTGAAGTCGTTCTGAAGTCGTTCTGAAGTGATTCTGAAGTCGTTCTGAAGTCGTTCTGAAGTCGTTCTGAAGTCGTTCTGAAGTCGTTCTGAAGTCGTTTTGAAGTCGTTCTGAAGTCGTTCTGAAGTCGTTCTGAAGTTGTTCGGAAGTCGTTCTGAAGTCGTTCTGAAGTTGTTCTGAAGTTGTTTTGAAGTCGTTCTGACGTCGTTCTGACGTCGTTCTGACGTCGTTCCGAAGTCGTTCTGAAGTTGTTCTGAAGTCGTTCTGAAGTCGTTCTGAAGTCGTTCTGAAGTCGTTCTGTTGTCGTTCTGAAGTCGTTCTGAAGTCGTTTTGAAGTCGTTCTGAAGTCGTTCTGAAGTCGTTCTGAAGTCGTCCTGAAGTCGTCCTGAAGTCGTTCTGAAGTCGTTCTGAAGTCGTCCTGAAGTCGTCCTGAAGTCGTCCTGAAGTCGTTCTGAAGTCGTTCTGAAGTCGTTCTGAAGTCTGTCGTTCTGAAGTCGTTCTGAAGTCGTTCTGAAGTCGTTCTGAAGTCGTTCTGAAGTCGTTCTGAAGTCGTTCTGAAGTCGTTCTGAAGTCGTTCTGAAGTCGTTCTGAAGTCGTTCTGAAGTCGTTCTGTTTCTGAAGTGTCTGTTCGTCTGTCGTTCTGATGTCGTTCTGATGTCGTTCTGATGTCGTCTGATGTCGTTCTGATGTCCTTCGTGATGTCCTTCTGATGTCCTTCTGATGTCCTTCTGATGTCGTCTGAAGTCGTTCTGAAGTCGTTCTGAAGTCGTTCTGAAGTCGTTCTGAAGTCGTTCTGAAGTCGTTCTGGAGTCGTTCTGAAGTCGTTCTGAAGTCGATCTGAAGTCGTTCTGACTGAAGTCGTTCTGAAGTCGTTCTGAAGTCGTTCTGAAGTCGTTCTGAAGTCGTCTGTCGTCTGAAGTCGTCCTGAAGTCGTCCTGAAGTCGTCCTGAAGTCGTCCTGAAGTCGTCCTGAAGTCGTCCTGAAGTCGTCCTGAAGTCGTCTGAAGTCGTCGAAGTCGTCTGAAGTCGTTCTGAAGTCGTCGTTCTGAAGTCGTCGTTTCTGACGTCGTTCTGACGTCGTTCTGACGTCGTTCTGACGTCGTTCTGACGTCGTTCTGAAGTCGTTCTGACGTCGTTCTGACGTCGTTCTGACGTCGTTCTGACGTCGTTCTGACGTCGTTCTGACGTCGTTCTGACGTCGTTCTGAAGTCGTTCTGACGTCGTTCTGACGTCGTTCTGACGTCGTTCTGACGTCGTTCTGACGTCGTTCTGACGTCGTTCTGACGTCGTTCTGAAGTCGTTCTGACGTCGTTCTGACGTCGTTCTGACGTCGTTCTGACGTCGTTCTGACGTCGTTCTGACGTCGTTCTGACGTCGTTCTGAAGTCGTTCTGACGTCGTTCTGACGTCGTTCTGACGTCGTTCTGACGTCGTTCTGACGTCGTTCTGACGTCGTTCTGACGTCGTTCTGACGTCATTCTGAAACTTCTCTCTTGTCGTTTTCCTCGTCTCCCCGAGGTTCTCCGGGCTGGTGGAGCGCCTGAAGCAGGCGGAGCAGGTGGAGCAGGCGGAGCGCGAGAGCTCCGTGCAGCTCGAGGACCGGAAGCTCGGAGCTTCGAGCGGATGCGCGGCCGTGACACACATAGAAACAAGTAAATACATAGACACACATATGTAAGGTATATATATACACATAATATTGTATATTATATACATTATATTATATATTTATACATATAGTATATTATATACATATAGTATATAATATGTGTAATATGTATATTCACCCCCATCCCCGAGGGCCTAACCCCGGGCTTTTCATATCATGTTCAAAGAGGAGAGCGAGGAGGGCGAGCATATCAGCGTATACAACTTTGAATGACTATAGAAACTGGCTGCTGGTGCTGAGACTGAGCAGAGAGGGTGATAGTAGGTTTTTCAACATGTCAGTTTTGCTGTTTTTTTTTAAACATGTCAGAAAGAGTTAGGAAAATATGAAAATAAAGAAGTGTGACAACAAAAAACATATACCACTTTTGAAAACCTTCGAAACATAGGTGTCCAAATCCTCTAAACAAGCCAGGCATTGCTAAAGGCAAGATTGAAAGAAGCCGCGGAATGTAATGATTATATTCAAAGTGTTGGTTATCTGGATATATGTATATATATATATATATATATATACATAATCATACTTTCTGATGAAGACAGCCCTATTTCGATAAGGACAGAGGTTAATGTCCCAGACATTCCAAGGATTAACACAGATCATGAACAAAAACGTGATTGACACGCCTTTGTGCATACTACATTTTACCTAGCGAATGAACAATAAAGTGGAAGTACGAAACTCTGTTTGATTTTCCGTTTGTCGTGTTTTGTTTAAGGTTTATTTACTTGCATGTTATATTACTTCATTGTCAGATTTTTTCCTCGCATCTCTCTTTACTCTCATTGTTTTGTCTTTATCATGCCTTTGGGATTTGTTTGCCTGGAATATCCTTGTTTGTTCCTGCATCCATCATTAGCTCATATGAATCAATGCGGCAGTACTAGCAAAGGAAATGCAACCAAAAGTACCACGTGATGAAGCTGTAGGAATCATTCATTGCCTCAGTATCAATTTCTCCTTTTATTATCCCCTGGTCATCATCCTTATGATCTTGAGTTACGCCACTTAGTTGCAAAGCTTTAGACAGTACATTTGCGTCATTTCATTTTATTTGTACTCTTTTCTATTTCCTGCACCTCATGAAAACACGCACATGAGAGGATAGCATGCACCGGCGTTGAGGCTCTGAAACTTGCACAGGCAAAGCAGCACAAACAGATAGAGTTCCCAGCTACAGAACCTGCACAGGCCCAAATAAGCAGAATACCTTAGAGTTGAAAGCTGCAAACATACACAGGCCCAAGGACTCACCAAACCCAAGCTCTGATCTGGAGTTTCTTGTTTTTGTTTTGGGGCAGTGCAGGTTCAAGCCTTTATCTTCAGGAATTTCCGGTTTGTTTGGGCCTGGGCAGGTTTCAGAGCTCCAAGCTGCCAAAAGCATCATTTGTTCAATCACACGTGGACTCGGCTTGTAAGGTTCATTGTTTTGGTATGGAGAGAGACAGAATTGTTGAACATGGGGAAGATCCAAAAGTTTCCAGGATTCGTGTGTTCCAGCCGGAACTTTGGCATGTCCAACCGGTCTTGAAGTGCGCGTCAGGTGAAGCTGCAAGCCGAAGAGCAGCAAGCAGATGCAGAGAGGACCCGGCAAGCGGCATGCGATTCGAATCGCCATAGCCTGCAGGAGACATCTGGAAGTTGCGACCATAGCTGCCCGTGAGGCACAAACGGCGAGCCTCTCGTGGTCCCTATAGCCAGTAGCTATAGTAGCTGTTCAATATCGGAATCTAATCCACCAATCTGTGCCTGCATTCCCAACTGTTCGCCAGATCTTTGCCAGGAAACCAAGAAAGTGGAATCCGGGCTGGCAGAGGCCTGGGGATCTTTTCACGGCTCCCAGCGACATGCCATCCTTGACCAGGCCTTGCAGCAAGAGGCCGAATCCAAGAAGCAGCTGGCATCACTTCGCGCGGAAGCGGAGGTGGAGAATCCGAGAATCCGTCACTCGCGACATCTTGTGGCGCAGCTGCTCGGAAGCTTTGAGAGTCGCCAAATGCAGGCACTAGCCCAGCGGAAGCGCTTGCTGGACGACACGTGCCCCTTCCCTAGAGAGCAATACTGCTCAGACTGCTCAAATTGCCGTCTTCATTCTCTTTCGAATCACAGAAAGGAGGAGCACTGGCTATAGGCTATAGGTCTTTGTTTCTGCGAATATCCAAATCGTGCGTCAAGTGAGAAGGATCGGAGTCCGGTCTTGAGGCCGCACGGAGCGTGCGAAGCTGTCAGAGGCCAACGGCCGTCTACGGCGCCAGCAGTTGCCGCGCGGCTTTGACGAGCGGAGAGCAATGGGATCGGCGCGGCTCAAGAAGGGTTTAGACGGGTAGGCTTGAGACGTTTAAGATGTGTTCGATGACGTGTGAGGTGTTTGAGACGGTTGAGATGTTTACACCGCTTGACATGTTTGAGATGACGTTTGAGTTTGAGATGTTTAACACGCTTGTGATGTGTGAGATTGCGTTTGAGACGGGAACCGTTTGAGACGTTTGAGATGTTGGAAAAGTTGAGATGTTTGAGATGTTCAAAACGCTCGAGATGCTTGAGATGACGTTTGAGATGTTTGCGAGATGTGTAAGATATTTGCGATGTTTGAGAGGGTTGAGATGTTTAAAGCGCTTGACATGTTTGAGATGACGTTTGAGTTTGAAATGTCCGAGATGTCTAAAACGCTTGAGATGTGTGAGAGGACGCTTTGGGCGTGAGCCGTTTGAGATGTTGGAGATGTTTGAGAATGTTATAACGCTCGAGATGCTTGAGATGACGTTTGAGATGTGTGCGAGATGTATAAGATATTTGCGATGTTTGAGACTGTTGAGATGGTTAAGAGGCTTGAGATGTTTGATGAAGTAAAATGTTTGAGACTGTTGAGATGTTTAAAACGCTTGAGATGTTTGAAATGACGTTTGAATTTGAGACGCTTGAGATGTTTAACACGCTTGTGATGTGTGAGATGCCGTTTGAGACGTTTGAGATGTTGGAGATGTTTGAGATGTTCAAAACGCTCGAGATGCTTGAGATGACGTTTGAGATGTTTGCGAGATGTATAAGATATGTGCGATGTTTGAGACTGTGAGATTCTTAAGAGGCTTGAGATGTTTGAGATGATGGACATTTTGAGATGTTTGAGATGCTTAAACGCTCGAAATACTTGAGATGACGATTGAGATGTTTGGGAGATATATAAGATATTTGCGATGTTTGAGACGGTTGAGATGTTGAAAGCGCTGGATATGTTTGAGATGACGTTTGAGTTTGAAATGTCTGAGAAGTTTAAAACGCTTGAGATGAGTGAGATGATGCTTTGGGCGTGAGCCGTTTGAGACGTTTGAGATGTTGGAGACGTTTGAGATGTTTCAGATGTTTGAGAATTTTAGAACGCTCGAGATGCTTGAGATGATGTTTGAGATGTTTGCGAGATGTGTAAGATATTTGCGATGTTTGAGAGGGTTGAGATGTTTAAAGCGCTTGACATGTTTGAGATGACGTTTGAGTTTGAAGTGAGATGTGTGAGATGACGCTTTGGGCGTGAGCCGTTTGAGACGTTTGAGATGTTGGAGACGTTTGAGATGTTTGAGATGTTCAAAACGCTCGAGATGCTTGAGATGACGTTTGAGATGTGTGCGAGATGTATAAGATATTTGCGATGTTTGAGACTGTTGAGATGGTTAAGAGGCTTGATATGTTTGAGATGATGTAAGATGTTTACGGCGGTTGAGATGTTTAGAACGCTTGAGAATGTTCAAAGCGCTTGAGATGTGTGAAATGACCTTTGAGACCAGAGCCGTTGAGCCGTTGAGACGTTTGAGACGTTGGAGATGTTGGAGACGTTTCGGATGCTGGAGATGTTTAAAACGCTCGAGATGCTTGAGATGACGTTTGAGATGTTTGCAAGATGTATATGATATTTGCGATGCTTGTGACTTTTGAGATGTTTAAGAGGCTTGAGATGTTTGAGATGATGTAAGATGTTTGAGACAGTTGAGATGTTTGAGATGACGCTTGATTTTGAGATGTTTGAGACGTGTGTTTGAGATATGTTAAATCACGTTTGAGAGGTTGGAATCAGAAACGCTTGAGACGTGTGAGACGTTTGAGACTCTTTCAGACGCTTGAGACGTTTGAGATGTCATTTATGACGCTTGAGATGTCTGAGAGGTGTGAGACGTTTGAGACGCTCAACACGTGTGAGACGCTTGAGACGTTTGAGTCTTTTACAAATGTTTGAGACGTTTGGAGACGCGTGAGATGTTTAAAAGGTTTGATAGAGACGGGTGAGATGTTTAAGAGGCTTGAGACGTCTGAGATGTTTGAGAGGGTTGAGGCGTTGGAGATGTTTGAGATGAGTCGCTTGAGACATTTAGACGCTTGACATGTTTAAGATGTTTTAGGTGATTTTCAAGTGGTTTGAGATGTTTGAGAGGTCTGAAGCCTTTGAGATCTTTGAGAGGTTTGAGATGTTGGCACGTTTGAAACGTTTGATAAGTTTTGTTGTGTTTCTTGGTTTGGACGGAGCGGCGCAAACGCGTTTCTTTCCTGAGAAGCAGAAAGCCAACGCCTCGAGCACTTCACTTCTGCAAGGTCCTTGCCGCAAACATCGGAAGAGGTGCGTCGCCTCCAGGCACGGAACTCAAACAGTTTGCCACTCCGTTGGGTGCATGTGGCCATGGGTCAAAATCCCGTACCACACTAAAATAGACTAAAATGGGTGGTGCACCTACCAACCAAAATGGGATCCCAAAACGGTTTTGACCCACAGCCATGTGTATGCAACAGCGTTTGGCACGGCAAGGGCCAGCTGCAGTCGCTGAACTCGCGAAGCGACGCCATCGCGGCGGAGCTGGAAGGCCTGCAGCAGCGGAGCGCTGGGGATGAGGCGGGAACGAGCATCGGGGCACTTCGCACTGGGCTCAACGGGCATAGGGACCATAGGGAACAGAGGGCTGCAGGTCGGGGGCATTGTCAAATTCTGGCCCAGGAGAACTGGGCAAAGATGAAGTCTGAGATGGCGAGTGAAGAAGAGGCAAGTGAGAACTATCGTGACAAAGTCAGCTTGTCTGGAGCTGCATGCGCGGCGGGATGCAGGCCCGGGAGGAGAACTTGGGCTCGGCTGCCATCTTCCGGGAAGACTTGGACCAGGCCGTTTTGAGCCCTTCGCATGTTCGCCGTCTTTTAAAGTTGAATTCGCCCGCTCTGCGGAGCATCGCGTCCCGCGCTCTCTTGGAGGCTCTTTCGCACCTGGCGCTGCTGCAGGAGCAGCTGGCGGAGCGGCAGGTGGCTGTGCAGCGCCTGCGGAGCGAGTGCCAAAGGCCGAGAGATGTCCAAGTTGACTTGGCGTGGGCAAATCTTCATTTTGAATGGCTTGAAAAGGGGTTGAAGGGTTGAACTTCAGTGTCGTTGCAGTTCGCATCGCAACGGAAGCCTCGATGCTTCGCAGTGTCGCAGAGCGTTCCTTAGCGAAGATCCGCGGAAGGTGCACTGCTCAGAGAGTTGGGATCCAAGAGGAGACCGAGAAGAAGAGGCGACCCATTGCGACTCTGCATGGAGTTCCGAAAATAGGAGGACCCATCTTGCATGGTTTTCAAATGTTTTAAATAGACATGAAGCCACGTCAGTTGAGGAACACTCGCAAGCTTGAGCTGTCGGATGCATTGAAGAGAGCTAGCAGGTCCTGGCTGCGTGACGCGCAGAAAGAGCTGGCGGGCCTCAGTGAAACTGAGCGCGGCTTGGAACGGGCGCCCGCGGCGCGCTTTGGACTGAGGACCCAGGTTTAAAAACAACAGAGTGCCAGCCGAGGTTGATGGAACCCTGTTAAACGGAGCTGTTTCGGGTCACCTCACATGGAGAGGTTGCAGGGTCTCTGTTGCCAGGTCCATGTCGAGACCACCCAGCTCCGAGCGCAGCTGCGGGTTGAAGAGGCTCCAAGCGGCTTCCTTCACGTCGATCGCCGTGTCTCGCCGCTCTTTGCCTCTCTCGTCCAGGAGGAGGCCAAACACCTGGAGGCCACCGCGCTCTCCCGGAAGGCCATCGCATCATCCGATCGTCGGATCGTCGGATCGGGACTGGGCCATTGCGCCATTTGGAGATCCCACACGAAGCGGCCAGGCGGAGCTAGCAGACACGGAGGAGAAGTTGATGAAGCAAGGCGAGCGACTGCAGCAGGCGAGAGCCTGGGGTCGATTCACAGGCTTTCAGACCTTCAGACCGCATGAAAAGCGAAGGTGGAGCAGCAGAGAGACCAGGCTCGATTACAGGTGGTTGCCACCTCAGAATTGTGTCCAACGGCCTGCCACAAGCAATACCAAAGCAAACAGCTCTGGAAGCAGTGGCCGTTTGACGATAGCTGCAGGTCAGTGCGGAGGAGGAGGAGGCGGTGTAAGTTGAACTTAAGTCTTGGTTTAATTTTGGGGTCCTCGTCCTTTGCCTGTCAACTGACTCAATTCTAGAGGTTGCAGGCAGTATTGCCACGAATGCCAGGCTCGGGTTCAGGCTGCAGTTGAGCAATTGCGCCACGACCAGGCGTGGTGGATTGGAGGTGTAGCTTGCACAGCTAGTGTTCACTCTTTGTTTCGCATATGCGCGCCGAAGTGGCTGCCGCACAATTTAGTCCTAACAACGCGCACTTTGCTCGGCATTGCAACCAGTTGCAAATTGACTGGAAGAGCATGCGCAACTGTTCTTCCGTGTTAAACAATTTTAGTTTCATTCGCTCTGCATTGCGCTGAGACCGACTATGATAAGTTGCAACAATGCTCGCAGCAATGGCACTGGATTGATTGGGTCATTTGCTGCGGAATCATTGTGGTGCGCTTCAGAATGTCGTCATTCCAGCACGTGTGCAGTGCTATGGGTGCTGCGGGTGTGCTTGTCAAGGAGGGAGGGGGAAACGCAGATTAGTTGTGCCATTGGGAAAAGCGGGTGCTGCTAACCGGAGCCTCTCTCTAAACAAAAGCGCCCAGCCACAACTCACAGAGTACATGGAGCAGCGAATGCGTTTCTCAGGATGGGGAGACTCACGCATGTTTCAAGGGAAGCCACACATCCAATGTCTGGTCCAATTCCTTCGCAGACGGCTATGCTTGTGCCATGAGACCAAGCGACTTGGCAGGCCGCAGGCGGTGGCTTGTGCCGGCCCCAAGTGGCCCGTTTGTCCGAGTCCGAGTTCGAATCCGAGGCACCGAAACCTGGAGACGGAGCTGCAGATGTTGCACGCGGAGGCGGCGGATGCGAGAGGCTCCCTACGAGATCGTCTCGAGAGAGCCATTTGGAGGCAGAGCGCTTGCGCGGGGCCATGGCCTCATCTTGTGCCCCATAAATTTGTCCAATGTATAGTATGTAAATGTATGTAAATGTATGAATATTGCAGATATTGCAGCATGCAGCCTTTGTTTCAACAAGGAGCTGGCGTTCCTGAAGACGGACAAGCTCGAAGGGCCGCGCGCTCGGATCAGATTCGAGCCACTGAGCCACTTGCCACTTCCGGCAGGGAGCAGCGCCTGCAGCTCATCATGCCAGCGCTGCTAGAGGCGAGCAGAGCCCAGCAGGCTGGGCTGTCCTTTGCACAGAGACCGACACAGGCTCGGCGCAGAGTCAAGGAGCTGGAGGGCCAAATCCAGGAGGGACGTCCTGCCTGTTTTTGTTTTTTAGATTTTGTTTCGGGCAGTTCGAATCGCGTGGCACGGAAGGCTGTGCAGGAGGAGTCTTCACGTGAGAAGGCCACAGGAAGACCCTCACTGGTCGTGGCTGTGTGCTGTTGCGACAGGATATGGGTGAGCGCTTGGAGCGGGAGACGGATACCTGTCAGGAGAAATCCCTTCCTATGATGAAGTCGGCACCCATATTTTCTTGCTTCGAAGACAACTGCAGCGAAGGAGAAAGTGCGCGCGCTGCGGGATGAGAACGTGCGACTCTCGGAGCAGTGCTCCGAACTGGAGGCGTCGCATCGCGCCGCGCGCACCGGGCCACGCCACTGGGCCACTGCGATGTGGGTCCAGCTCGAAGCCAGGCACAGCTGGCGCAGTCGGCGAGGCGCTGGGGCTCAAGAGATCGGCTCCACGCGTTCTTGATTGCATGGCAGGGATGCCCAGATGGTGCCGTTGACCAGGACCAGCAGGCCTGCGAGCGAAGTGTTGGCTCACTTAAGACTTGGCTTGAGTCATTGAGCACAACGGTGAGGCTCACCATGCTTCGAATCTGTTTGCATGCTTCAGCACGCAGGAGCCGGGCTGAGGTCTCGAACTCAGCCCATTCAGCCATTAGAGCCTGAGAGCCTGAGAGCCTCAGTCAGGCTCGGCCGCTCTCCGCGAGGCGCATAGCCACTTGGAGATGTGCTTTGCCTCCGGTTGGAGAAAGCTCGTGGCGGTGTTGAATTTGGATGCTTCATTCACTTCATCTATCATTTACCCCTCGATCGCTGATCGCAGGCGCGAGGCGTCGCCCTCCAAACCCTCGGTGCGCACGCCGCGAGCAGGCAGGTCCGAGCATTGTGAAGTGTCAGCGGCGCATGACGACATATGAAAGGTACAACAATATATGTCAGCATTTTTGAGCCAGTGACAAAACGCGGACAGACCACTTTAGAAATGGGGCACGCTTTGTTGCTGTTCATGGCTCTTACATCCTTTGCAGTGTTTGCAGTTGTTCGCGGCTTTGCAGCGTTTGCGGCTTTGCGTGGCTTACCCTGAACTTGCCCTGGCCCCAACTGCACCCTGAAACTTACCCAAGCGCGCTAAACCTAAAGGCACTCTTATCCTTCACCCACCGTCAATCCCCCAAAGTTCCCTTCACTCACCAAAAAGCCCATCCACCAGTGCCAAACCCATGATAACCCCCCCACCCGAAATTTGCCCAAGAACCAACCCTGTCCCTGATGCGTCCACCCAGCTTGGCTCAAGTCGGCCCCAAAGGGTTTGTTTGCTTGAAGATGCTTCAAAAGGCAGCATTCTTGGTCCTCCAAGAAACAGGCACGAAGCGAAACACATTTGCGCCATTTTTGCGATCTTAACTGAGCAGTGAGAAGCAGGCCATTGTTTGGGAAGTGGTTTGGCTACGTATGCCAGGTACCCGGCAGCGTGTTGTCGTTGTGTTGGCCGGCGAAGCACGCATGCCGACGCACCAGTTGTTCTTTTCAGCCGCGCGATCTTCAAATTGACGTTGCAAAGGCACGCTCACGCTTGCAATGTTTGAGCACGGGCAAAAACGTTAGCTGCCCCACGCAGTGTAAGTATAAGTGAGGTTTGGCAACAGTGCACTTGGGTGTTTTGAGTGACAAGGCATGGTTGCTTCACGCACGGTTTAGGTCTAACGCAAAGAAGTTGATTGCAATTGCAGCGCCCGACAGCCCGTTCAGAGACCACGACTTGCGCAGCCATTTCGTTCGGGCGAGCGCAGCAACAAGTTTCGGCGCGAAGTGGCATCGGCTCGTCCAGATCGGCTCTTCAAGACCTTGGCGCGCGAGCAACATGAATCACCCTGGCGTGTCTACCGCGAGCAAAGGATTTGAAGATTGTTTTTCAAGGCAAAGACAGCTAGGTCGCGGGGGCTTCTTTTCAGCGCTTTATTTGAAACACGCGGGCCTTCGCTAAGTTTACTCGGGGCATGTTGGAATCATCGTTGCGTCTGAGCCACGCGGGTGTTCGTCTTATCCCTGCGCTTGCAAACGAGACAGGACTCGCGCTCAAACTCACCCTAAGGGCTTCAACTCCTTAACCCTAGCCTGGACCAACCCTACGCACGCCCCGAAGCCCACTCTATAAATGAAACCCAATAACCGCCCTGAACCCTAACCCCACTCAAGCCAATCTCTTCGCCTGCCCTAGATAGAACCCGCCCTTGTCGTTGCGAAGTCTTGTGGTTGGCCGGCGAAACTCGCAGAAAGAAGCGCACGCCGACGCACGAGTTGCTTCTTTTTCGGCTCCCGCGCGTGATCATAAACTTGACGTTTGCAAAGGTGTGCTCGTGCTGGCAACGTTTGAACACCATGTCAACAACGTTAGCCGCCGCGCGAAGTGTGAGTGAAGTTTGGCAGCAGCCCATCCAAGCGTTTTGAGTGACGAGGCGTGTGTGCTTCGCGCTTTGTGTACTTGTGCCCAGCGAGCCAAGACATCCTGCAATAGGGCAGGGCGGCCCACCTTCCCACCCGAAGCCAACCCCACATCCTTCCCAACGTTTCCAAAGACACGGGACCACCAACCCAAACTCCGCAGACACGTCCCAATTCTTCCACGCAGGTTTTGGGGTGTCAGTTGGCTTTGATCTTCCCTCGCAAGCCATGCCCGCCCCGCCCGCAGCTCGGGACACTCCAGAGGCGCACCGCCCGTGCCTCAGGGCATGCAGCGAGAAGCTCAAGTTTCACCCTGCGTGGTTCAGGGCTCGCAGGTACAAACGCTATGTTCAAGCATGGTACATGTTTGTTCAAGCGCTATTTTCGCAGCCAAACAAAAAGGGGGCGTGTTAGGCGTGTTTGATGAAATTGCTCTACACGCAGAAGGAATCAGCATGATGTCAAGCATTTGAGAGGGTCCCTGGTTTTCGAGACCTACACAGAGTATACTCAAAGCAATATGTGATGAGATTTCTGTTAAGGCAGGTTCACTTTGAAAGGGCCCATGTTCAGGTTCCATGAGCATAACATGAAGTTTATGCTACATGCTTAGGAAGGGCTTTGTAGAAGATCGTGTTGAAGGTTTCACATTAGCACTTGGGTTTGTACCTCCAGACAAACGCAAAGCACCATTGTAGACAGGGTACGAGGCATTGGGATACATAAGGTCCGGATCAGAGGTCCTGGTACACAAGCGATCCAGACCCCCGATCCAGACCAAAACGCAGGTGATCCAGACCGATCCAGACGTCCGGATCACCGCGGAACGATCCATACCCGTTTTTTGAGCCATTGCCATATGCTTCAATGAGGCGATTGCGGGTAGCCACAAAAGCCACATTCCCTGCCACCCTTGCATCGGCCTCGTTTGGATTCAGGGCGGAAGCTGCTGAGTGCAGAGCGTGCGGAGCGTGAGGTGCAGTGGCCTGATTTCAGCCAAGCCTTGGTTTCGACTGACAGGAGCCATCGAGTGGCGCCGGAGCTCCTCTTAGTTGCTTAACAAACAAATTACTTTGTATTTTTGCTTTCCTTTTTTTGGCTTCTGTCATTTGGTCTGTTTTTTCTGTAACATTGGCCAGGCCCGTCGGACGGCCCCTCCAAGCTGCAGCCCGTGGCTCAGAGGGCTGGCCTCCAACATTGAAGCTGAGCTTTGCAGATACCTCACCAACTGGATCCGGAATGAAGAGGGCAGGCTTGCCGCTGACGTCTGCTGCTTAAGCTCAAGCGTGCCTTACAGCAGCTGTGACTGATCGCATTGTCTAGGGGAATTTGATGCAGTGAGGAGTTGAATTCGGGCAGATGCAAACGTGTATAGCTTGTGGCACTGCAAAAAAAGTTGTGAAGAGGGAGATGCCCTCGCAGCAATCACAAGATCATGTTCTCGCGCGGTGCGCGGGTGGTTCAAGGATCCACAGTATTGGGGCCATTGCAATGCGCTCGTCATGGCATGTTACACAAAAGCCAGAAGCGGTACACTCCCAGCTCCTTAGGTCCTTAGCTCCTTAGCCCCTTCAGTCCTTCTATCAGATTCTGGCTCCTCCAGCACCACCTGCACCGCAAAATAAAGAAATACGAGAGTCTCGAGATGTGCTCTTTAGATGGCCTGCTTGATTGTTGCAGAAGTCCCAGCAGTGCTGAGGCCTTGCCATTTGCCATTTGCAATCTACATCAATTTACGAATTTCCCCCTCCCCAAGCGCCTCAAGCGCCTTCCTTTGCAGGTTCAAGTAAAGGAGCCGAGCGCCAATCCCACAGAGGTGCGCCCGCAAGACTGTTCCCGACTTTGAAATCCTGCAAGTTTGAAGGAATTGGCAACCTGGCAATATGACGCTCTTCTCGACATGCGATCGAAAGTGAGCTTTGGCTGCATTCCGACGTTGAGAGAGCCACTTGAGCCACAATCAAAACCCGGGTAGATGAAGGTTAGTAAAGGGCGAGCCCAGCCATAAATAGCTGCGGCCGCCTTCTTAATCCTGTACATGGTTCTGGGCCTGGGTAGACCATTTTAGTACCAGGTTTTGATTGCGACTCACTTAGTCACTTAGTGCTTGAAATCTGTGCTTGTGACCCACTGTGAGGTCTGCGCCCAGAGTGGAGGACAAAGACCTGCTGCGGTTCCTGGTGGCTCGCAAGTGGCAAGTGGGTGCAGCAGCGGAGCAGTTCGAGGCGCGAGAGAAGACCAGGCGAGATATGGCCGTGGGTCAACACCAATGGTACCATTTTGGGGTAGATGCCCCACCCATTTTAGTCTATGTTTGTGGAGATTGGGATGTTCACTGTGGGTACGGGGTTTTGACCCATAGCCGTATGGGGGCCTATATGCCAAGAAAAGCAGCGCAGGCCATGCAGAAGTGGCGAGAAGCCAACGACGTCGACCGCTACCGCCGCAAAGCACCAGGGCCAATGGGCCCCAATGCAGCTGCGGATGCGGCCCAGGAAGTCGGTTTGATCAGTTTCGAAGAACTTTTTGTGCTTTTAAGTGGCTCCCTCCGTTGTGCTGGGTTTGTGGGTATCTTCCCCAGCAGGAAAGGACGGATAATCTGTGCGCAATCTGTTGTGCTTGTTCAGGCAGTTCTTGCGCATCATCCCAGACCATTGTTGAAGCGTTTACTCTCTTAGCTGACGGGAAATGGCTGATATACCGCAACAGCTCTTAGCATGTTGTAACAGCTGAGTGGGATGATTCTTTGAGCACAGCCCCTTTTGGATGCCGTCCAGGAATCCAAAAACAAGGACCTTTTTTTGGGTGCAGCCTAGGTGGCCAACATTGGGGGGGGATGCAACCGACGTGGGGGGGGGGGGGGGGGTTGGATGCGGCCGGGCTGGACATTTCGGCTCGAGGTGGCCAAACCATGGGAGACGTTTTTGGAAGCCGCCGAAGTGGTCAACACATGATACCGTGTTGAATGGGCCGAGGTGGCCAAAAACGGGTGGCCAACAAATGGGAACCTTTTTGGATGCGGCCGAGGTGGCCAAACATGGGCACATCCCACACAGTTTCTCTTGCATAGCTGCTTGCCCTGTGGATCTGATCGAAAGGACCCAAAGCTGAGTCGGGGAAATATCGAGATGTTTCCGCAGCTCAGGCAGGGGTGGGCCAGGTTGCGCAAGGTGCCTTGCTTTGCTTTGCCAGGTTGGTGGAGCAGATTCCGCACGAAGGCTCTTTGCTCTACTTCGGCCAGACCCTGGCCTTTGGCTTCGACAAGAAAGGCCAGCCGATCCAAATCCAGAACGGCGGGCTGGCGGGCTGCCGCTTCGCGGACATGTCACGTTTTGCCACTCGGCTTTGAGATCCATGAGATCCGCGCCTGCAACCAAAGGGACAGACGTCTTTTCAAGGGCCCGTCCCGGGCAATGCCTTCTGAAGGCCTTTTGGGGGGGGAGGGGGGGGGTGCTTTTGCTTGAGACGTGTCTTCTCCGAGGTGGGTGGCCAAGAGCAGGTCCTGGCCAGCCTAGTGCGCTTCCAGGAGCTCCAGGCCGGAGCCCGCAAAAGCGAAGCAGAAGCCAAGGGCAAACCAGAAGCAAAGCAGACACCGCAAAACCGCAAAACGTTTAAAACACACTTGACACAAAGCAAGTGAAAGCACACCAACATTAGCATGTAAGTCAGATGGATCGAGTATCGAGCGCAGGCGGCTCGCATGGAAGAGTCCTCCAGAAGGCTAGGGCGGCCCATCACCAAGCAGGCGCTGTGGGAATCGAAGAACAATTCACGTTTCCACAGATCGGCGCCCTTCGGCGCCCGTGTAACTTGAGATATCTTGAGGTGGTGATTACAAATGCCCTGGGGATGCCGCTGCGCCCACAGCCAGCAGCCGTCGCCGCGTTCAAAGACTTCCTCCTGGTGAGCTCCCGTGGCTTGTCAAGGCGATGGCCATCCATGGCCACAGTTTTGAGGCGGTTGCAGATGACCTAAATGACATGAATTGTGAATGGCACGCAGAAAGTGGACCGCGATTGTCAACAACTGCCATAGGAATGTGACCCCTTAATATGGCATGTTGGCTTCTTTTCCCCTCTCAGGTTCAAAGGCCTCAAACTTAGGAGCCCTACAAGTGGTTTGGTCCTATTTGGTCCTTCGGGTTTTCCGTGAAGCCCCGTTGTGCGGTGTCAACAGTGAGCTGGCATACTTTTCCAACCTGTGGTCCCGAGGCTACTACCCGGAGTCGTTGGCCGTCCTTTTCGTGGTCAACGCTCCGCCCGTGTTTGTAATGTCCAGGCCCCAGGCCTAGATCTTGATCTTTCATTGCTTTTGGAGGAGAGTTTCCTGAGGCCAAAGCTCCCCATTTATGATAGTGCATTGAATGCGGTGAGAGTGCCCACATGTGCCCCCACATCCACTTTGCATACAAGAAGATCCACTCGACACGCCGGCAGAGCCGGCGGGTTTCTTTCAATGCCGTGTGCAAATGATGTCACTCCAAGGCTGTATCGGGTGATCCAGACGTGGTTGGACCCAGTCACGGCCTCCAAGATCCAAGTGCTGGGCAAAGACTTCCAATCCACTCTTCTGGAACACATCGATGTGGCTCGCGCAAACCAGTCAAGTCGGCAGGTGACGAGGGCTCCGGATTCGGAAAGAAGCGACACCCGAACCCCTTAGAGCACAAATAGGAAGGACTCCGCTTTTTTGTTGGAAGCAAGGACCTCATTTGAGTTGGCGCGCTGGGACCATTTGGAAGGCGGAAAGTTGGATGAGCCCGCAGCGGGCTTTTCTCAAGTTTTCCGAGGAAGCCTGTGAAAATGCCAATTGGAAAGAGCCAATGCTATTTATATGACCCGGAATCGTCCAAGTTGCCTAGGCGGACCAGCTGCCCCGCAACTACGGGGGCTCAGTGGACTTTGACATCCTTGGGACCACCTGGAGCCGGGAGGAGATTCGCTCGAAAACCTCAAGACCTCAAAGCGTCAAAACCCGGAAACCTCAGCTGGGGAGGGCCAGAGAGCGGGAGAGAGCTGTTTGGCATTCGAGAGGGCAGCGCAAATGCCAGGAGTGCGAGCGCTGTTTTTCGGCCTGTCGGCGTGCTTTGAACCACAACGACTGCGTGGATCCAGCGCCTACAATTGCTGAGCCGGGCAGCCGGCGGTATTGGATGCTCGCCATATTGTTTACAGCCTCCTACTTCATCATGCAGAATGTGGGATTGTGAGTGCTGCTTGACCCGGAGCACTGCACAGACAGGTTTTGCAAAGGGCAGAAACGTTCCAGAATCGTGAATTCACAGAAATCTAGCATGCTTACACGATGGCCACACTCTGTGTGTGTGTGTGTGTGGGCGCCTGCGTGCCTGCGTGCGTGCGCGTGCTGGTGGGCCTGTGGGCGGGCATGCGGGCGGGCGGGTGGGTGGGTGCGTGGGGGCATCGGGGTGAGTGAGTGCGTGGGCGGGTAGGTGGGTGGGTGGGGCGGACGGGTGGGTGGGCGACAAGAAGAACATGTGAGGTGTAACCCTCTCTCCACAAAGGATCTCGACAACAGAATTGCACACATTGCCCAGTTTGGGTTACTTTCTGCCGCGCATCAGAACGAAGAAGCAGAAAAGGATGCCGCCAAGTTCATTTGAAGGCAGCACGACGCAGCTTGACGCAGTGAGCTTGGAGCAGGCCATTAATGACGAGGTGTAGCGCAACCTTCCTCAACCCCAAGATGGAAGTAGCCGCTTCACGCAACGCCGAGGGCAGTTTTTGGTTGGAGCCACTGGCAACCGCACGGAAGTGCACTGATCAATGAAAACATCACTCGACATTGTGTCTGCCACGCCCAAGACAGCAGCTTGAACGGCTGACTGCCAGACAGTAGAAGCGCATCGCCTGTATTGCCATCAGCAAAGGTTCTGTTCCGGTTAGCTTGCTGATAGAGTATCCCTCCACGTGCCCAGTTTGCGGGCAATCGCATAAGTCAGGCGTGGTGACAATGCAGTAGTCAGCCGGGGGTTGCTGCACAGAATTTCTAGCTGCAGCAGACTTCGCCGCATAACATGTCGGCAACCACGTTAGAAGCTACTGAATAGTTTGCCGCGGGTCAAGACACTCTTGTGTTGGAGAGGGGCGTAGCAGAAGTGAGGCAATCTAATTGTTTTTGTGTCGGCATCCGCTTCGGCTTAGCCTTGCGGAGCCTTCCTGTTTCGATATGTGCAGAATCGTTGTCCTGCATGGGTCAGACACTTGAGATGGAAAAGACTGAATGCAGCTGATGCTATCTCGTACCCTCTAGTCCCGCAGAAGCGCTCGGGCTCACTGCTCATGGTGCGCAGCTGGTTGGCTCCGAGCCATGAGCAAGAGTCTCTAACAGAGCCAGGTGCAGGTGGAAAGGAGCTTTCTCCCATTGTCAAGTTTCCGCACTGTATCAATCGCTTGCCGCTATGCCCGGCGGGTTCGGTGGCCTAATTGGCGGGGAAGGTCAAGCACACAGGCGAGGGTATGCCTCATGGCAGCTTTGCCCTTCTCAGATGGCAGGCCGCTGTCCAGCTATACCTGCGGAAACAGGTGCCGTCAAAATATGATTGCAACCCCGTGTCGCGAGTCAGAATATGCCAGGTGCGCGAAATTTCAGGCATATGGATATGTCCGTGGTCATCCTGGTGGAAGTATAAGCAATGCTCCAACGTGCGCAATGGCCGTTTGTAGATGCTGAATTAGGTGACCGAATGCACCAGGTACCAAATGGGCAGACAGACCGGGCACGATTTCGCTGCCATGCGGGTGACACTCTACAGGATCCAGCAATGAGAATTGTGACATGCTTTCTGAGCTTCAGGTAAAGTGCCTTCTGACAGGACCAGCAGGGCACATTACGAGCACGAGGCTTTTTCTCATGCGCGAGGCGCATGATTGGGGGCATGCTTCGAACTGCCCAAACAGATGCCTTCAGGTGCTTCGAACTCCAAGAGTTTGCCATGCAACGACCCAAGACACCACGGCCGCACCATTCTGCGGTTTGGCTGATGCGAGGCTTGCACCAGTCGGCGAAGAGCGGCGTTCGGCCATGCCAGGCAAGGGTGAGTTTCGGGACTGGCGCGCTTGCAGTTCTAATTCATTCCAGTCACCAGTTGTTCCAGACTTTTAGCGACATCCATGCCAAGCACATATTGGCGTCTTTGCCGCCCATCTCTCCGCATGGCCCTCAATGCCCATTTCGATCATTGGAAGCGTATCCGACTCTGTTCGAGGTGGTGAGGTCCGCATGATATGAAGAATATGTGTGAGTGGCCTGTTGGGTTTCACTGCCTCGGTCTACGTGTTTGGCCGAGACATCTGCGAGATTTTGCCTGCTAAGCAGTCAAACGGCAAACAGTTGCTTCTGTGAAGCATTGGTGCCTTCGCATTGGCCACGTCTTGGGTGCTGGTGCCAAGCAATTGATTAGCGCAGCCGCTTTTGATCAGAGAAAAGAGGGCAGCCATGGCTCGCAGATCCATCCTCGGTTGTATCTTGGCCCTCGCGGCCGTGGCAGGGTCCTCAGATCTCCACGTCTGGCGGCCATTATGTCTCTTTGAGAGTTGCCACCATTGCAAATGTTTCAAACACAAGATATAAGTCAATTGATTTGCACCACTCGGCACAGGGCTGGACACCATAGCTTTCCGGGAGGCTTTGTGCCCAGCCTTCCTGGGCCCAGCGGCTACCCCTCGATCTGTGCCCGGGCCCCAGAAGCCATGGGTGAGTTTACTTTCCTTTCGCATAACTCATGTCCTTTCATGTCCTTTCATGTCCTTTCATGTCCTTCCATGTTTTGTCACATTCGCAGGCCGCTGGCGGCTTCCAGCCAGGAGCTCCGCCCACTGGATGTGGAGCCACTGAGGCCGCAGCGAGGGACAGGACATGGCGTGAGGAAGTTCAGAAGCAGTGGGGCTGGTTGGAACGGATAAGATGTTGACATTGCAGCGACTGCAGCGACTCTTTCTGCTCTTGCAATGTCAAACCCTCTGCCTGAGGCTGGAAAACCTGAAGCCGGCCGTGCAATCTGCCGCGCTGTCTGCCGCGTTCGCCCTTGCAGCTGAGCCGGCAGACCGCTGAGCTGAGGGTCCTCTCCGCTCGTGCGAAACGGCACGAGTCGAGGCCCTGGCGGCAGAACCTGGCAGCTACGACGTCAGGCATGGGGAGCGGATTGTGGCAGAGACGTTGGAGGGCCACAATGGTTTTGGCGAGGAGTCGGACACCTGCTAGATTTTCGGCTTCCCTTTGGCTTCCCCTTGAGACACCGACCAACAGGGGTCCAAATTAGAAAGCTCCAACCCATGTCCGACATCTGACTTGACAGGGAAGAGCAGGCGAAGACCTTCATGGTTGTTTTCTCTCTCGGCAGCGTTCTGGTTGCTGCCGGGATCGTTTTCGCGCGGTGCCCAGATCACAGAGCTGGCTTGGATGTACTCCCCGTACAAGGAAAGAACGACCAAAAGTGTCCTTTCCCCGACACTATACTCTACATTGGCGGCATGGTGAGCCTCGGGACCACGAGCCACGGGTGGGACGTTCGGGGGGTTCCAGGAAAGTGTTTCTCTTTCAGTACTGATAGATTCAGTGGCTTGTCGCTAGCCCTGATTTAGTCGCCTGATTTGGTGGCACGATGGTTGCTGCCAGGCAAACCCTGTCATGCAATGGAAGAGCACGATATGCTGTACGCTGTATACATAGCGACAATGCCTTGCTTGATGTAGGCAGGTAGGTGTTGGGACAACACGAGAAGACGTTCCTGTGGCTTGGTTGTGTTATTCAGGATTTGCCCAGTCATACTGAATCGTGTCCAAAGACCTGCGCTGAGAGTAAAGTTGTTCCAGGTCATCAGCAAGCTCTACGAGTGAATGCCACTCCCTTTGCTTCACATTTTCTCGGCATGACCAGCCCCACCTGATCCGCGATCCGCACATTTGGAGACGGAGAAACGGCTCACATCTTGGAGAAGCATATCAGCCTTGGAGTTGCAGGGTGGGCCCGTGACGATTGAGTGTAGCTCTTTTGCCAAGTGCCCCAAGTTTGGCTCAAACATGTATGGATTTGTATCGACGTGAAGGCACATGTGTTTGTCCATTCATACTGGACTTCAGCATTTGAGCATGTTACAGACCTCCGTGGCGTGCTCAGTGCTCGGGCGCGGTTGAGCAATGTCAAGCATGTCAGGGCCTTAAGCGAAATCAGCGCAAAAGCCGTGGACTTCTTGTCCCTTAGACCATATAGACCATGGCCTCGGCTAAGGGATGGCAGCCGCCCATCAGCCTCCCGAGACTCTCGGCCCGCTCTCAAGAGGAATAGAGCTTACCATGTCTGAAATCAATTTCTGTCAGGCTCAGCCGATCAACAGGCAAGATGGTGGTGGCTGCCTAGCTGCCAACCGTTTCAAAGTTGCTTGGTCTGCGAATCCCAAGGTTTGTCCCTGCCCGCATCCCCCGCCAGTCGACAAGACAATGCTGGGGCCTTTTGTTTGTGTCGCCGAACGCCCAGAAAGAACTTTGCCCCAGGATGGCGCGATATGGCAAGCTGGAGTCTACACTTCAAAAGAATTGGGCAGCTTGGCAAGTTTGTGGTTTAAGAGGCTGACCCTCAGAAAAGGCTCGGTTCCATCTTGAATATGGAACCTGCAAAAGGTAAAAGGGCAAATCGGCCAATCCTCCGGGAGCGAAAGCGATGAGTCCTGTTGATTTTGATATGTTGGAGCTGAGCGGATTGCCCTGGCTGAGGCAACGTTACATGAAGCTGACGAGAAACTTAGAGATACTCGCTCATCAGCATCCACGGAAGTAGGTATATTCGAGGCTGGGATGAAAGTCTTTCAAATCATGAGAGTGAGAGGGAAAGTGAGAGTGACAGTGAGTCAGTGAGAGTGCAAGTGAGTCAGTGGAGCTTGCCTTGTAGGAGATGAAGCAAGCCTCGGCAAAAGAGGTTGGGCGACCAACTTTCACCTTGAAGACCTATGTTTTCTGCAGGCTCTGGACGGTGCCGAGCTTGAAGAGGCCGGGCTTGAATGTTCCTTTTTTCTTTTAGATGTCTTGGTGCCCAAGGCCCAGCAGGCGCAGGTCCGGGAATGGCTGGCGGGGCCCTTGGGATGGACACAGCGACCGGAGACGGCGCTTTGAGCGCGAAGGCACGGACCCTGGAGAAGTCTCTCCCAACGGAGGAGGCGCAGGACGGCAAGCCTACAAGCTGAGCCCTTGATTGCGTGGGAGGTGTCATTCGGATGCGTCAATCATGAGGTGTCCAAGCTTGTTTTCAGATTGCTTCTTCGGGGCCGTTCCGTTTGCAAAGTTGTTGGTTCCGACAGCGTAGTCTCAGGAGGCGAAGCGCCTGCCCAAGTCCCCCGGCGAGTCCTGGACGATCATGAGCCGTGACCACTTGAAGGAAAGACACGAAATGCCGCGAGCAAGTTGCTTTGGGACTCTCAGCCAACGCGATTCGCGGCGATGCCAATGTTTATTTCCTAGTCAAAGAAAGGCCTTGAGCGGTTGCCTGTGAGGAGCCCTGCAGCCCCATCACCCAGAAACACCAGGCCGTGCGCAAATCGCAAAAGCATGTACGCTTTGCACAACGGACTCTATGACTGGCAGTGCATGCTGTTGCGGAGAATACGGGAGGGCGGCTTTCCCGCAGATGAATCGCTGGTAGGGTCCCTTGGACTGAGTTCGGATATCAAATTCTACCCATGGAGACCCTTATTTGCGCACACACCAGTTCACTTGCTTGTCCTAAGGGCTCAGCCACATCCCCCTGACTTGGGTCTCCTGTATATGTACACCGTATACACGTACATAATATGGAGATATCTCAAAATAGGGGACCCCGCAAAAGGTGGTTGTCCTTTTGTTTCCCTTGCACCAAAACCAACTCGTGTTGTGTGTATTAGTTGCCTTTAGCCCATTGCCTGTATATGTTGTGGGGTATATATTTCGGTCAAGGCCGAAGCGCGCTGGAAGTACCTCTTCGGGGATCTGGGTGTGGCTTACGCGTCTCCCGGGACCGGCTGGACAGCATGGCGCCCAGTTGCGCAGGCTAGACGTGTTACCAACGCGCGGCAAGAAACCCAGAACCGCATCAATCCGCATCGTGTGTCATCCCAGTCTAACACTTTCAAGATCCAAAATAGGCTTATTGGTTGTCATCCTTTGCAAAGGGGAGGAGCGCGCGCACATTTACAGCGCACAGATTCCCACAGACACAGATTCCCACAGACACAGACACACAGACACAGACACACAAAGGGCAGAGCGAGAGGATGGAAGAAGCTGAGAGCGAGAGATTGAGCAAGAAGTTATCGGTTGTTTGGTGTTTTACTATCGGGTTTGTGCATCAATTCTAGACTATTAGACGATATGAGTATGATAGAAAAAATAAGAAGACAAAACACGAAAATTAAAATAATTAGGACCGTAATCAAAAATAGAAGCATGTCCATATCTTTCAAAATTTGCAGACTCAGCTTTCAAGTTTTGCTTGACTGGAGGAGATTTCAGAAGCCTCGGTCATGTACCCGCGACAAAGTAACTGGGTGACACCGTGGGAAGCGGAAGGCAGCGGGAGAATATATGATCATTTTCTTTCTCTCCGGCCACGGCTGATGTTGGTGGGATCGAGAAAGAGGAGTAAGTGAGTGAATCTCTCCTCTCTATCATTCCACTACATCTAATCACCTCTGCGGTTTGGAACTGTGGCGTTGTGAAAGAGATGAAGAATATGTGGCCCACGGCTGTTCGCAGAGTTGGTGCCGTGGGAAGAGATGGATAGATTCCAGAAATGATGGGTCACCAACAAAGCCAAAGCAATATGAAAAACAGTAGAACGTGACCAGACATCTCCTCTCATCTCTAGGACATCCTTATTGCTGGATTTCGGAGATCCTGTCACTATGAAAGACTCACAATGGAACGGTCCAAATGATAGACTAACAAATGATGACCTTTCCTTGTCCAGTATCTATTAGTTGCTTTGGAAAGCAAGCAAGCAGCATAGACTCTTTCTATAGCTAATATGTGGTTACGTGGAATTCCTTGAACACAAAAAGGACAGTGTGTCCGCTCGTCAACTCGCTTTCCACGTGAGAACCTGTCCAAGAATCATCTCGCACACAGAAAAGAAGCGAGAAGAAGAGATGGGAGAGACATGGCTCGCGGAGAAGCCATTCCACCGTTTCCTCTCCACCATTGGTTAACCCTTGATGTGTGGCATGCATGTTCTGTCGCCGCAGCCTCTACGCGAGATTCCAAAAGTTATGTTATGAATACGAATTAGCTGTCAACGGGCTACTCTCTTACGCATCATTTGTCTCCAGGAGTTATCCTGTTGACTGTTGGGAGTAAGAGAAGGGAAAGATGGCACCGTCCATAGGACTCGCCCAACCTCTCTTCACTACCTGGCAGCTCTTGGAATCTCAAGTCAGAGCGGAGCGGGGAAAGAATCCCAAGGCAACCAAACGAAAGAATAATAAAATAAGAGAGGTATGACATAGGAAAGCTTTAAAAAGTAGAAATGCAGTCCAATCCTTCACCATATTGAATAAACTGGATATGATGCGTGATAGAAACCCATCCCATCTCTTCATCACTTGGTATCTTTGTCTATATCATTCGCTGTACCGACAATGGTCAAGGGAAACATATTTTTGAAAAGAGCCTGGAAAGCATTATAGAAATAGACATGTGTTCGAATCCTACTTCATATTATACTCTGATGTAATGCCAGACTGGTTAACATGGCTCGCAAACCCCTCGCCTCCGCTCTGTTTCCTGGAGTGAATCTGTTGGGTCACAATGGCAACAGCCAGGATGGGAGAACGAAAGCGAGGGAACATAAATTCAGAACGGTTACGAACAAAGAGAGTGGAGACCGTTCCCTCCGCTCCGCTCTCCTAGGAAGTAATCATAGTGAAGGTTGAGGTGATAGGATCGCTCACAAGGACAGGCTATTGAATGTAGAGAGGGAACCAAATATTCATCCGGATGGACTTCAGAATACACAGTCAATGGGTTTGTAGTAAATTGGAAATGCAATATTGAAAAAAATGACAGGTTAATAAGATACTGATGATATTAATTGGATCAGTAGGAATGGACTCCTGCCACTACGAAAGACTCACGATGGAACGGTCCAAATGATAGACCAGCAAGTATATTTATTAGTTACTTTAGAAAGCATTTATATTTTATAATGCTTTCCTATGACAGAAATTACTTGGTCAGGATGTAGCATTTGATTTTACGATCAGGAATTATTAGCTGTGGAAAGGAGTGATGGAAGGAACGTTCATCATGTCCCCTCCTGCCTATCAGAAAGGTTCCATCTCCCATGCGTCCCTCGTCCACTCCTTCACCAATCAAGGTTGACCGTGCCGCCAGTCAAGGTCCAACATTCCCATTTCCTTCTTTTGTGCTCTTGGAATTACAACACCAGGCAAGGATACCAGCAGACGGCTTTTTGATAATGGGACAAAGGGAGAGACAGAGCAGAGGCGAGGGAACGGTCCCCACTCTCCATTCCTGTGACTGGTCATCTACATCTCCAAGAATGACTATTGGCGGCGGATGCGTGCACACGCACGCACGCACTCACCCGCCCAGGCCCCCACGCCCCCACGCCCCCTACGCCCCCACGCACACCCCCGCACCCACACACCAACACACCCGCACACCAGCACACCCGCACACCAGCACACCCACACACCCAGACACCCAGACACCACAACACAAGCCATGCGATTGAGCAGACACACAAAACCCAAACAAACAAACAAACTCACGCACACACCCACTCTCGCGCACGCGCACCCACCACACACGCACCCGCACCCGCACCTGCACACGCTTGCACCCGCGCACGCACGCGCAAGCACGCGCGCGCGCACGCACACGTGCACGCACGCACGCACGCTTGCACGCACCCACCCTTGCGCGCACGC